ATTTTTTTTTTGCTTTTGTCAATATTATGCCATTACCTGGATCTTTTCTACTGATACTATCTCTTTAAATACCTTTGATATCTTTTCCTTTAAAGTGAATGGCTCCTATTCTATCAGTGTAGAACAAACCCATCAACCCATGGTTTAGAATTCTTTATTTCAGTTGTCGTATTTGCCCATAATATCCATTTAGAGAAGCTATAAATTAAATTTTCCATCTCTTTTGGGTATTTTTCTCTTTTCCCTTCTCCTATTTCCTCCTCTGGCACACACTGATTTGCTTTGCATTTCCGAATAAGCTCAAATGAACATGCTCAATTTTTTTCTTTTATTAAATTAAAACAATACCTTTACAGGCTGCAGTGTATTGTCATGGCAAAACAGGATTGCTGTCTATGTTTAAATTATGACCGAGTATGCATCATTTGAATAGCATCTTTTCTTTGGTTGCTGCTGCTTCTTGGAGAGAAAATGAAAATAATTGTCAGCTTTGACTCCGTTCTCTTGTCAAAGTGAGCTACTTTTGTCATCACTTGGTGATGGAACAGAAAATGTTTCAAAAAGGGTCTTTTGATACCCAGAGGACACTTTCCACAAGAGCACTCTGGAGCGGTCATTTAATGCTTGTGTGCTACTGATATTGGTGGTCTAACTAACAGCTTTAATTAAAAGATATGGAGGATACACACTCAAAGTGGGTTTCTGGATCCATTGCAGTTGATGAGCCTCCTGTCATTAACTTTGGTAGAGCCTAGTCCCTCCTCATGTGTGTTCTTAATTTTCAAAGTTTGGATATTTGGAGAAAAGACTTTATGATGGCAAAGTGCAATAATGTATGCAGACTGCGTGTGGCTGCAGTAGTAGTACTCTGAAAATTTAATACAAATCTAATCAACATAAATTTATTTTTTGAGACAGCAGGCTTGTTATGGCTGCAGCCCAGAAAATAATTAATCAGGTATGTAATTTCACGCCTGTGCCTCATCTATCGGCTTAGAACAACTCCTATGCTTAAGTCTAAACACATCATCCAGTTTCTCAGGGAATTTAACTGTATGAATAGTCCTGCTCTTACTGCTGTGTGGTTCTTCAATCATATGTGAATGATCAGTACCTGATATTGTTGTGACTATCATACGTGCAGCCAGCTTTCTTACCCTTGGCAGTCTTGATGAAAGGCTTGTGAAAATTGTGAAATTGTTCCTTTCTATGAACTTCTAATATTTAGATCATCACAACTATAATTATTCTATTATATTTGAAATATTAGGGGTTTAAGTGATAAAGGGATAAAGTTAAACCAGTAAGTAAACAGTCTGGCATCAAAATTACTGTGACTGTGGATTAACTCCACAAAAAGTTTAGGATGTGAGCACTGCAAAATCAGAATAATGTCATTTGGATGAAAAATTACTTCTACCTACATTGTTTGGACTTCTCTTGGTGGTAACACCAAAGCTAAAGGCTGATCTGAAGTTGCACGCTTTTATGCTTGACAGGTTTTTCTCACAAAATATATAAAACAGCATCTGGGTACTGAAGGGGAAAGGATGGCTAGTTAAATGCCTTTGCCTCCTTAAGGCTAAGAGTCAATTTTGGTAGTCCAGCAGTGAACTGAACTCTAGATATACATGCATATTTGCAGGAAAGATCTTCTAAAGGTTCTCTTGTAACCTTTCACTTAGTTCTGCTTTTCTCCACGAATGTTAATAAAATTAGAGAAGAGCTTGCACCTACAGCTTTGTGAAATAAAAGTTAGGGATTTGGTTTGAACATATGAGAGGCAACTCATATGTTGCCGCAATGAGTTAACGAGGCAACTGCTAAGTTCACTCCTAGGCTGCTCTCTGTCATATACCCTGTAGTGCTTTCACCAAGCTGTTGAGGTACTGAGTGCCAGTCTCCACGTTTGGGGAGATAAAATGTGCTATAACTACTGAGATGGTACAAATTTCCTTTGATTTCAATGAGACTGAAATTTCTGGGAAAAAGCAGGTTTATAATGTACTGATAGGCATTTCTGGGTTAATACTCTGTTATAATGTCTTGTTATATATTGACTTTGATCAGACGCTGTTTCTGTCACACCATGCTTAGATAAATAGAAAATAACAGAATTTTTGTGGAAAGCTTTGACATGACTTTACACCTCTTCATTTGTTAATGCTTAGCAGTAGGCAACTTGTGATAAACTTGCATGCAAACTTACCAGTATGTCCCTTTCATGGCAAAAAGCAGAGCAGAAATAAAAACACATCCATTAATCAAACTACTGGTTCAGCCCAGGACATATTTTCCTTTTCTTTCAACTGAGTTCTACAATGTTATCTGGCTTATTGCTATGAGTAAAATTATTAAGATAAGCAAAAAGGAGTAGTTTGTCATATAAAGATAGCAGCTGCGATTAAACCTAAGGACCACAATAAGTGGGTCCAGGTAGCTAGACTATCAAGTGTAGCTATTTGTTAAAGTGAAACTTGCGTAAAGCCTATATGCTGATGGATTTGAAGTCAGATAACAACGGAAAATAGCAAAAATCAACATCAAGTAAAAATAAATGCTTAAGTAAAAAAGATAAGGGAGTCATACTTATTTAAAAATGAAATGTTATAAGAGGTGCAAAAATCCATCAGCCCAGGGTTTTCTCTAGGAAATATAATAGATAGATGGCGCAATTTCCAATGTGTCATATGTCACAGAGGTTTGTTGGTAACATTTCAGAGAGAGATTAAATAAAAATCAACAGCATTAGTTTCAACATAGTATAGACAATAGACAGATTTTGTTAATTATTAGCCTAAAAGAACAAGCACTGAGGACTTGCAACCTATGCAATATAATCATGACCCCATATGCTCTGTGGCATACAGAACCAAATTTTGTATCAAGACAGTCCATCACCTTGTTTTGTTGGTACATTTTCACGGGGGGAGGAGTTCCTGAAAAATATAAATTTTCATCTAATCAAGTCTTAAAACAATCTTGTTTCAAGACTGCATGATAAGTGGTATATAATACTGCTATATTGATGCTCCCTTTAACCACTGAGTGTTAATTTTACCTAATTGTTTCAGCATGGTAGGTGACTGACCGGGAAAACAGTTTCTAGAAACTTAGGTGAACAGTGATGTCAATATTCCACGTTGCCTCTTGGTGGTTAGACACTGTCTTTTCTCTGGGGATGGTTTGGGAACCTTTTGGGTGGCAACTAAGTACCAGGACCATTGCTTTAATTCTGTGCCTTCTGAATCCCTTTTGGGGAGCGTTTGTTCTTTCTTTGATAGAAATACATTGAGAGTTTAGCAAATTGCTTGAATGTAGAGAAATTTGAAATATTTGCTTGTGATTCTGGAGTTATGAAAATAAGTTATTTGATGTAAATACAATGCAGAGATGGTGCCAAGTGTTTCCTGCATCCTATTATTGCTGTTATCTAGTGTAGTCCCTCTGCTCTCCATGTGCAATGGAAGGTTCTGTTTTGTTGGAAAAAGATATTCAGTATCTGGAAAATTTACAGAGCAGGAGTGTGAGCGTTGATTACTACTAGTCAATTCTCAAAATGATAAAACGGTTTGGAAGTGAGAAGTGTCACTGTAAAATGTGTGCTTGCCGGTTCTGAACCGGGAGTGAAAGACTTCTGCTGTCATGCCTCACCAAAGCTGCTTTAATGCAGCAGTGGGCAGATTTCAACACTGTTTCTTTGACTTGAGAGACTCTTACCTATTATGTTTTTGAAAGGCAAACTTAATTGTTTAGTCCTTTGCAATATGATAGCTTCAGTAAATCTCCCTGAACAGATTTCCCCAAATTCTAACTTCTGGCAGCAATATGAGGTTACATCTGAAAAGAAGACAGGGCTCTGACACAGCACCAAGCTGCAAATGGGAGCATTTTAAGAGAGGAGGGTCAAATTAAATAACACAGATGAAATTCTGGCAGCATTGCAGTAAATTAAAGTTTGGCCATAAAATATAACAAAGTAGAACTTCATTCTAAAATAAATCCTTCTCAAGGGTTCAGAATGTATTTTCTAACATTCCGATTTTTTTGTAATTTATACTGTTGCTTGCATTTTACTCAGATTGGAAGTTAAAAATATATTAGCTTTGGAGTTTTGGTTCCTAATTATTCTCTGCATTCTAAACAACCTTATATCAATGACCTATGAAGTTTTTTGCTACTTTGTCTTCAGTATCAGGATCTATAGGGATAGGTTTTGATGCTGACATGTGATTAGAAGTTTGAAGACATAATTTTCCCTCTAAAGCATTTTTAAAGCAAGGTGCATTTTTGCTCCTTTGACAGTCACTTTAGCTAGCTGCACGGTTTTATGAACACTGGTAGTGTGAATAATTGATTCAGTACACAGAGCTTTAACACAATTATTTTTTTACAGGTATATTTTAAATGTGTAGTTAACCTTCATTGCACTAAACGTTAGTTCCTTAAAAATATAATTCCTTTGAGAAGTATTCAAATAAAAAGCTCTGGTGCACCTTATGATATATTTAGCTTGCAGCATGGAAGATGTATTTTTTTTAAATTTTTACTTGGAAAAATATTGAACCACATTTTCTGTTGGCTTAAACTGGCAGTTTCATTTTGTAAGAGTCCCTGAGCAATATGTTCTAAGTGCATAACACAAGGTTATAGCAAAGGAAATCTATGTATTTTTGATGGGAGTTAAAAAATCTCTGATTTTGAGAATAGTAACTTGACATCTGTTAATTATCAAAACTATGATTTGGCACTTTGGGACTTAGTTCAGAAATTACCTAGGAAGGAAGTGAGCCGTTGACTGGTTCCATTCTTGGTGGCGTCTGAAACTATAGGTTTTCTTAGAATGAGAGTGTCATTCAGTATCATCTTTTCAACATTTTCCTGATGGTATTAGAAAGGTGATGAACACTTAGGTAGTTCTTTCTGAAGAATGTTTGAAGAATGGAACGTTTTCTTATGTTTTCAAAATGTAACTAAAATAAAGCATCATTTCTTTCTAGCTAAGTAATTTGAAACAAGTCACGGTTGTGGATGTGTCGGCAAACAAGTTTCCTTCTATTCCAATCTGTGTACTACGGATGTCTAATTTGCAGTGGTTGGATATTAGCAGCAACAACCTGAAAGATCTCCCACAAGACATAGACAGGTATTTTATGTTTTAATTCATGGATATGCTTGTGAACTAGCAAGATAGCCTACAAAGTGACAAGCTTCCAACGGACATTTTTAATGAAAAATCACATGAAAAATTCACATCCAGAAATGCATTAGTGTCGCAAGTAAACTTTACCACTGTTATTGCTGGAATAGGTTGCAGAACAAAACCTACGTTTTCTAGCTCACTGATAGATTGCACAGTCAGTGCCTCTACTGTGCAGTTAACTAATCACACTTTCTGATTCATTTGTTATGATATGCCCTCATATCCAGGCAATGCTCTTTGGGAAGTATATGAGCCATGCTTGTCCCCTAGTTTAAGTAAAAGGGACTCGCTGTACAGAATTGGCAGCAGCACACTAGTGACCTAGATGGGTGGATGAGATAAAGAGGGAAATGTGAAGTAAAGGGCATTTAAGCTACTGAAAGATCCTGACCAACTTTGGCAGTGAAGTCAAAAAAATCCTGGTCAGATTAAAAGAAACATTGACAATCCTCCCCTTGTATGCAGAAACATATATGTGCACACACACTTTCTATTCAGAGATCCACTAGAATTAGTTTCAAAAAGTTCATGCTGATCCCTTTTAATGGGTGTTGCTAGCATTTTTATTGCTATAAATAGGTCTGCTAACAGACCTATTTGCTCACTCTGAATTCCTCTTGTAACTTGGTTTACTAAGCTTTAGCCATAAGTAAACCAAAACACACATTAACTGGTGTTTGCAAAAACAAATAAACAAAAAAGACTATCTGTTGATCTGAGAATAGAGATCCCTGAAGTGAAAGAGGCTTTTTGGAAACCTCATTCATCCTTCAAATTCACAGGACCTTTGTGGCTGGGAAAGGAGACTTCTCTGGAACATTGTGC